CTACAGATAGAGATAAAACAGACATTCATGATCTCACAACTCTGGAGGCTGCAAGACCAAGAGAAAGACAGGGAGGTTTTGTGTCTCCTGAGATTTCTCTCCAAATGGAGCACCAGTCATGTTGGGTCAATATCCACTCTCACACATCTTTAAAACCAGTCATATTCTGCGGTACTGAAGTCTAATGAGTTCAATGTAAGTATTTAGGATGGAGAACTGTTGTAGTTTGAATTGTAATTGGCCCCCATAAACTCATAGGAAGTAGCACTACTAGGGGGTGCTGCTTGTTAGAGTAGGTATGGCCTTGTTGGAGGAAGTATGTTACTGTGGGGGTATACTTTGAGATCTCATATATGCTTAAGCAATGCTCAGTTCCTCAGTTTACTTCCTGTTGAATGCAGATCAAGATGTAGAATTCTCAGCTCCTCCAGCACCATGTCTGACTGTATGTTGCCTTGTCTCACCATGGTAAAAATGGACTAAACATCTGAAACTGTGAGCTATCCTATTTAAATGTTTTCTTTTATAAGAGCTGCTGTGGTCATGGTGTCTCTTCATAGCAATAAAAACCCTAACTAAGACAGAAATTGTTACCAGGGACTGGGTTATTGTTGTGATAGGCCTGACTGTGCTTTTGTTTGACAGACTATGGACCTAGGTGATAGGGGAAGTCCTTCTGTGTATATGTAAATAAAGCACTGTTGGCCAATAGGTATGTGGCAAGGTATGTGGGACTAGGAGTCTAGGAGGATTCTGGGAAATGTAGTGAAGAGAGTCATCATCATGTGATCCCTATAGGAGAGAACGCAAGTCTGGCATTCTAGGAAAGATAAGTCCTTATAAAAATATATATTAGTAATTATGGATTAATAATTAAGTCAGAGCTAGCCGATTAGAAACCATAGCAAACAACCAACAGCTTCATAATTAATATAGTGTCTCATGTGTTATTTGGGGACTAAAGCAACAACGGGACCCAGGCAACTGGAGGGAAAGATACACATTACACATAGGGGCTGTGGATTAGAAAAACAGTTGAACGCTTTAACAGTAGCTTTAATAGCTTATACTAGTAGGAGCATGGAGGACAGTGGTGCTCAGTGTGGGGACCTGGCTCAATAAGTTTCAGAGGAGAATAATACTATGTGGCATAGAGATAATTCTTGTAACATTTTGATAGGTAATGTGGCTGCTTTTTGCCCCTGTCCAAAGAGTCTGCCTAAGGCTAAAGTAAAGAGATTTAGATTAATTCCATTGGCAACAGAAAGCTCAAAACATCCTAGCATAGACTCTGTCATGTGGTTACTAGTGTTCATGTTTGTAAAGAAACAAGCTGAGAAAGAAAAAACACAAAATGTACAATTTGAGGAGAAAAAGCACTAGGAAATGGAATGGAACTAAATCCTGTATTCTAGGAGATAAATCGATTAAGAAGTGAACAAAGGGAGTGGTGACCTTAGGGCAAGATCCCACCCAGGTAAGCTTCTGAAAGGAATTAAAGTAAAACTTAGAACTGGATGTGGTGGTGGGCTGGCAGATTTCTGATTTGAGCCAGAACAGTCAAGTTTAGGCAGCGAAGGAAACCATGGAAAATAGAAAGCTGGTAAAGATCTAATTGAACAAGGGGAATATGTTCCAGCACCAGCAAGCAGCAAAACTTGGCAGCTTTGGGAATGTGGTTATAGCTTTAGAGTCAAGGAGCAATTAAAGGGGTGTCCCTGAATGGAGGCTTAGAAAGCTCATTTACTAAAGCTATGAAACTGAAATCTTGATTGCCTTGGAGACACCAAGATATTGGAAATGCCAGAGCTGTGGGATACCTGCCAAGGAAAGCTGCTAACAGAGAGTGGAACCAACCCAAGAAAGCAAAGTGTGTTACAGTAAACCAAGCTAGAAGAAGTTGGAGATCTGAAGAGCATTTTGACATCAGACATGGAGATGTAGAGTTTAGAGTTTGCCCAACTGTTTTTCAGTCCTGCTTTAGTCAAGTATTTCCTCACTACACTCCCTTCCCTACATTTTGGAATAGTAATTTGTATCCTGTACCATTATATGTTGGAAGTCTGTGATATGATTTTTAATTTTAATTTTTAGGGGATTATAGTTAAGAGATTGCATGAATCTCAAAAGAGGGTTTGAACTTTGAATTTTTTAAACATTGTCAAGACTGTGATACACTATGGGGGCTTTTGAAGTTGGATTAAATGTATTTTGCTTTATGATATTGTCCCAAGCGTATGGGTACCAGGGAGTGGAATGTGGTAGCTTGAATGTAATTGGCCCCTATGAACTCATTGGAAGTGGCATTATTAGGAGGTGTGACCTTATTGGAGGATGTGTGACACTGTGGAGGCAGGCTTTGAGGTCGTCTGTGCTCAAGCTATGTCCAGTGTCACAGCTCATTCCCTATTGTTTGCAGGTAAAATTCTAAAAGATGAACAGTCCAGGACAGAATAGACTTTTCTTTGCATACCAGCCTCAGGTCATTCATTCTACTACACCAAACTTCAATAGTTTAGTGTGTTTTACTTGACACATATTTCCTCCACCTAATAATACAATTCTGCCTTGCTTGGGCATGGGGGTGAGGGAGTGGAGGGGGCAGTTATCTCCTTCCAATGCTGCACCATGCTGGTCAGCCACAGACTGGATCCAGTCTTGTTCACCCACACCATCTGTGCTGTAAGAACTATCTGGTTGCTTGATGAGATCCAACACAGAGGCATATTATCCTGGAAAGCTGCCTATTTCAGAAATGTGGTGGAAACAGTCCAAGGGATCTTCAGATTCAGAGAGAACAAAGAAGCTGAAGTGTTTTCGCATGTCGATATTATATGCCACAAGACTTCCAGCTCTTTTTCTCTTGCATGGCTATGTCCCGACAGAGCCTATATGCTGAGGGTTCTGTCACTGTTCTATAGTGCTATTAGAGTAGGGTGGAACCTTCAAGAGGTGGATTCTAGAGGGAGGAAGTTAGGTTACCAATGGGGAAAATCCTTCTGTATATGTTTGTCTTATTGGTTGATAAATAAAGCACTGTTGGCCAACAGGGAAGAAAGACAGATGGACTAAGAATCGAGGAGGATTCTGGGAAATGTAGTCAAGAGTAGCAGTCACCGTGTGATCCTGGGAGGAGAGAACATACAAGCCTGGCATTCTTGGTAAGATAAGACCTTATAGAAATATATATTAGTAGTGACAGGTTAATACTTAAGACAAAACTAGACAGTGATAAGCCCTGGACATTGGCTGAACAGCATTGTAACTGATAGAGTCTCTATGTGTTATTTTGGGGGCTAAAGCGGTGACAGGACCCAGGCAGAAATCCCATAACAAAATGGCACCCAATGTGGGGCACAAACCCATAACCCTGAGATTAAGAGTCTCATGCTCTATGGACTGAGATATCTGGGAGGAGATGATGGGGAAGTCTTTCTTCTTCTTTTTTTTCTCTTCCTTTTTTTTAATGTTAGAAACAAGTTTATTTCACAAGTCAATTCCAGCTCCATCTCCCTCCCCTCCTCCCTATTCCTCCCCACGAGGCTCCCCAACCCCCCACCCAATCTTCACTCTGAACCCCAGGGAGGGTGAGGCCCTCCATGGTTGATATCCAGAGTCTGCCATGCCATCCAGGGTGGGAAGTCCTTCTGTATATATGCTTGTCTTATTGGTTGATGAATAAAGCACTGTTGGCCAATAGGGAAGCAAGATAGGTGGGACTAGGAGAGGTGGAACATTCTGGGAAATGGAGGAACAGTCATTTACCGTGTAGGATGCCAGAGGAGTAAAAGGTCTGGTCCCTTTCTCTGGTAAGAGAAGACCACATGGAAATACTCAGATTAGCAGACCACATGGGAATACCCAGATTAGCAGTTATGAGTTAATAATTAAGTCAGAGCTAGCCAACAAGAAACCATAGCAAACAGCCAACAGCTTCATAATTAATATAGCGTTCTGCATGTTCATTTGTGACTGATGTGGCCCTGGGATCAGGCTTCTGTGAAGATGCTCATTAAGTATTATGCCCAACATTGGTTGCATGAATTTCCACGTAGAATGAGAAAAGTTTAAAAGGGATTTTTAGAAACAAAAGAACAGAGACAAGCATGGCTTCTTGGTGGCAGCATTTTCTGGGGTGGACTCTGCTTTACTAGAGACAAGCAAAGACTTATGTGGTAAATTTATGCCCATCGTATTGGAAAGCCAGTGACTAAAACAGCCGCCACTTTAATTTTAACAATGTTGTTTAGCAGATAAAAGACATGTGGGCAGAAAAACATAAAGATTTACAGTAAAGTCAGATTCAGATGAAGTAAAACCTCTAAAAGGTTTACAGTGTGTTTAAAAATATACATAGGCTTGAGATAGAAAAAGGAACAAGAGAGTGGTAAAAGAAATAGAGAAGCTGGGCTGTGGTGGCACATGCCTTTAATCCTGTTTATATATTATGTTTTTGTGGTCTTCGATGGAGTTGAGGACAGATAGTTATAATTATAGTTTTCCTTAGTTATGATAAAAATTAAGATACATATAAGACTTTAGACTCACACTGATAGAATAGATGATAAAATACTTTCTTTAAATCTTACTAAATGTTAATGGACTAAATATTATAACTACATTTCTTACTTGATAACTGTTCTGTTGTATATAATTTGACTGTGTTAAAGTTAAAAGCTATCTTTTTACTTATACAGAAAAGAGGAGATGATGGGGAAGTCCTTTTGTGTATATGTTTGTCTTATTGCTTGATAAATAAAGCATTGTTGGCCTACAGGGAAACAAGATGGGTGGGACTAGGAGTCGAGGAGGGTCCTGGGAAATGTATTCAAGAGGTTACTGACGGAGAGTTCTTTAAAGGGATACTAGGATCCCATCTCTTTCCTCCTGTTCACCTTCATTTCCTGGCTGCCATGAAGCAAGTAGCTTCTTCTGCCATGTGCCCCCACCACATTGTACTGTGATGTCACAGGCCCAAAGCAACACCACGACAAGGTGGCAACGAACTGAACTCCCTCCCCAAACTGTGACCCCAGATGACTCTTTCCTCTTTGTAAACTGGATATCTCAGGTATTTTACTGCAGTGTTCCAAAGTTATCATTCCGGAAAGGGCACAGATTCACTGAGGATACAAGCCATTCTGTTGCTGTCCTTGGAAGATGGGTCTACATCAGGTAAGACATGCTTCCATTCTATGTCTTCATGGAAAGGACCGAGCTTTGTCCTCCCACAGACTCAGCAGAAGCTGCTTATGATTACCTGAGTCTGCAGGTGAAGCCTCTGGCCCTTCAGATAGGACTCAGCAGAGAGGACTTTGAGATTCCAGATATAAAAGGGCTAAATTTCCTTCCTTAGGAGAAGCCAACCCAGGTTGTCAATTCAGATGCCACTTTGCGTCTCAGGCTAAGTGATGGGTTTTGCAGCAAGGATTTAAGTCCTGGATATGTTGGAGCCCAGCAGTGCTGTGAGAGGTTTGGGATGGCTAATTGACTCTTGGGATATTAGTCCTAATTACATAAGAGGAGAGTTTCTACCTTCTCAGGCTCCACATTGCTGGGGAGTGTGGATGGCTGTGGAGAATTAGGAGGCCATCTTGTCAGTGTGGTAGGCATGATTCTCTCTGGCATTTTATCATTTGTATGTCAGCTTAGTATCTCAAAAGTCCCTCAAGTCTTGCGCCATTGACCATCTGTAGCAGTGTTCACTGCAAGACTGCTACAACCATCTTGTTCCTTCAACAGAGACGCTGGGCTTTCTCCACCATTCTCTGGGGATACTGCTTCCCAGGCTGCTGCTGATCCTCAGCAGCCTTGATTTCCTCTGAAGTGGTCATGGAAATTGAAGTGTGGTTATTATGACTAACCCACTTATGAATGCAACCCTATTCCTTTCTCAGAGGGACATCAAAGCTGGTCCCTGGAGAAGTCTAAGGAACATAGAACCAATAATAGAACTTGCCATATAGCAAATTCATCAGACAATATCCATTGTGGCACGGTGGCACGCTATGTAGCAGTCAAAGTACCTTTTAAAATGTGATCCGGCATAACCAGGTGGTGGTGGCTCATTCATTTAATCCCAGCACTTGGGAGGCAGAGACAGGCAGATCTCTGTGAGTTCAAGGCTAGCCTGGTCAACAGAGTGAGTTCCAGGACAGGCTCCAAAGCTACACAGAGAAGCTCTGTCTCAAAAAACAAATGAGGGATCAGGAAGACTGAATAGGAGGAAGAACAGAGGAGAGCAAGAAAAGAGACACCTTAGTAGAGGGAGTCATTATAGGCTTAAAGAGAAATCTGGCACTAGGGAAATGTCCAAAGATCCATAAGGATGACCCCAACTAAGAATCTAAGAAATAGTAGAGAGGATGCCTTAAATAACCTTCCCCTATAATGAGAATGATGACTACCTTATATACCATCATAGAGCCTTCATCCAGTAGCTGATGAAAGTAGAAGCAGACACCCATAGCTAAGCAGTAAGCCAAACTCCTGGAATCCAGTTGTAAAGAGGGAGGAGGGGTGAGCAAAGGGGTCAAGACTACGCTGGAGAAACAGCTGACCTGACCTAGTGAGAGCACACGGACCCAATCATAAAGCTGGGGAGCCAGATTTGATCGAACCAAGCCCTCTGAATGTGGGTTCCATTTAGGAGGGCTGGGCACTCTGACAGTGAAACCAGTATTTATCCCTAGTGCACAAATGGACTTTGGGAGCCCATTAACCATGGAGGGCCCTCTCCCAAAGGATGTGACAGACTTTGATGATCACCCATGGAAGACCTCATCCTCTCTGGGGACTGGATGGGGGTTGGTGAGGGGTATGGGAGGATGAGAGGGAGAAGGAACTGCAACTGATATGTAAAATAAGATTGATTCTAAATTAAATAAATAAAAAGTTATAAATTAAAAAAAGAAAAACAAAATAAACAAACAAAAGTGAGCCTGCAGATGAGGGCTGTCCCTGCTGCTGCCAACCTCTCACTGGCCAAAGCAATCTCGCATACTGCTTTATTTTGAAGGTCTCACAGGTTGGCTTTCTGATTCTCTCCCTTGGTTTGAAAATTAGTCATGATGGGAGGTAGTGTCCACCAGTGTCAGGCCGGCCCACCGAGCTGAGATTGCATCTTCATACTAACCATGGGCTTGATTTCCACACGCATCTTCATGCTGTATCATTTGCTTCACTCATGATTGGCTCTTGTGGAATATTATTTTAACTAGGCAAAGCTAGGCAAAGGTGTGCTACTTTAGTTTATGATCATTTATTTAATTATGTAGAGGTGTGTTGTGTTTGTTTCACTTTGCCTGCCTAGTAGTCTAATAAAAAGCTGAACAGGGAATAGTTAGGCAGAGAAACGTAGGTGGGCTGGTAGGTAGAGAGATTGAACAGGGAAGAGTAATCTAGGAATGAGAGAGAGAGAGAAAGAGAGAGAGAGACAGAGAGAGACAGAGAGAGAGACAGAGAGAGAGACAGAGAGAGACAGAGACAGAGGAGAAGAAGAAGAAGATGATGATGATTATGAAGAAGAAGATGATGAAGAAGAAGAGGAGGAGGAGGAGAAGGGGGGAGAAAGAGAACGGGGAACACACTCAGGGACAGAAGCCAGGCAGCTGCCAGCTAACCAGACACGAGAATCAGTGAAAGTAAGTTATACAGAAAGAACAGTAAAAATCCCCAAGGCAAAAGGTAGATTAAAAAAAACAGGTTAGCTTAAGCTAAAAGAGCTAGCCAGAAATGAGCCTAACTAAGGTAGGCCATGCATTCATAGCTAATAAGAAGTCTCTGTGTCATGATTGAGAGCTAGTTGGTGGCCCCCAAAAGAAAAATCCTGGTACATATGTCAAACCACATACTAGTTCAATGGCATTAGTCAGTAACAATATATAATGTCTCACCAGTAGCTTTTCTGTTTCACATGGGTGGCTGGAGTCCTGAAATGTCTGGGAGGTTGAAAATGACCTTCCCGAGCTGACTGACTGCTGGCTTTTGGATGCTGCTGCTAGCTGCTGCTGGCTGCAGGTTGCAGGCTAGGAGCTGAGCTGGGGCTGTGCTGACAGGGCCTTCCCTTCTGTTCAGGGAGATTTGCCATGCATCTTTAGGGTTTCCTCTCATCAGGGAAGAAGGGAGTGAAAAGAGAAAATGACAAGATATTATTACTCTCATATTTTCATTTATCCCAACTCCTTCAAATTTCTACCAGGTTTACGTGATGACAACTAAAAAGTTAAATACAACTTGTCTTTTATTGTAGTGGATAGAGGTGATAGGGTCCAGAGATAAAAATAATAATAATTTAAATAAACTAGTTAGTATTTCAAATCAGGACATCTTGTTTATTTATTTTTTTTAATGCCACATACTTTGTTGGAGAGGAAGTACATGAAATAGTTGAGTTCCTGACTCAGGAAGACACAAAGCCATCTCTGGCACTTGCTCCAATGGGAGTTTATGTCTTATGGGTTTAAGTCCTTGGTGAATAAGTTTGAACGCCTTAATTGTTGCCCTGCAGAAGTTTGGCCCCTCATCGAAGCCTCTCACTTCTCTGTAATTGTGTCTGTTGTTGAGCACACTGTAGCTGGTATTGAAGTATAGTTTTTCCTTTGCACAAATCATGACCATTCAAGTTGGGTAGTGGTGGTGCATACCTTTAATCTCAGCACTGAGGAGATAGAGGCAGGCAGATTTCTTTGAGTTTGAGGCCAGCCTGGTCTACAAAGCAAGTTCCAGGACAGGTTCCAAAGCTACACGGAGAAATCCTGTCTCAAAAAAGCAAATCAACAACAACAAAAACAAATCATGCCCCTGCCATCACTATTATGATAAAGCTTGAGGAACCTTGGCAGTTTCCATGGCAGATGAGGGTGACTGAAGCAGGGGACAAACATGCCAGGCAGACAGAACTTAAGTGAGAAGTTTTACTAGAATGGGGAGAGAGGGGGAGGAAATAGAAAAGGGATAAAGAGACAGAGACACAGAGATGGGGAGAGGACAGAACAGAAGAGGCAGACAATACTATCTGCCCCAGGGAAATAGCAAGAAAGAGAGTGAGAGCAGAAAGAGAGCAAAAGTGGGCAGGGGTCTTTCTTTTAAAGGGGTCCTTTGCACCTGTGTGCAGACTATGCAATCATGGAACCCTGGGCTGACCAGAGTACTCTCTGACTGCATTCTTCCAGGTCACCACCATGGAACATATATATAAGTTTGGTCCCAGGAATCATGACAATGAAATGCATGCACCAACACAGTCATAAATAGGTCTATAGTAATAACAACAAGGGTATATAAGGAACAGAGGCATCAGAGGACCCTTCCCTGGTATTACAAGCTTTAATTTTTCATGTTCCTCTGCTGCAAGGGATCTTGGGAGGTTCTAGACTAGAGTATATTAGAGGCAGATATTTACCAGTAGTGAGACACTGCAAGATCCTCTGCAGGTAGAGCAGGGGAAGGGCCAGTTCAACCAGACTTTCCTCAGAAGGATGGTGAGTGCTGACCAACTCAGACCCTCTCCCCATTAGTTATTGGGAGAAAATATACACTGAGTTGGGAGTCTGTCTAAGCAGGCTCTCGATTTATTTCAACAGGCAGGAACTTATATAGGGCTGTGTTAGGGGATGGGAATCTTAGGTTGGGGTAAGGTGACATGAGGAGTAAGGGCCAATAATAGTCCACCAAGCTGGCAGGTAGATAGGCTGGGGGCAATCTTATATCAGGCCTTGCTGAGTCACCCCCACATGGAGGTTACAGGCCAGAGACAGGCCGCCAAACTCTAGCCAGGCTCAGGAGGTTAGAATTGGTCTCGCATCTGAGCCTTTTTAGGCCCAACGAGACTCTATGATAAAATTCCATTAGGTTGTCAGCTAGGACAGGGTGGAACTTATTGCTGATGCAGATGCTTTTGAGTCACCCAAAATCTCATTAATAACCCTTCCCTTCCTTAATACTTCTGTTAGTAAGCCCAATGTGTTCATTGGCTCACTGAGCCAGGAAGAGGTGGAATTGTTGCTTTGGTATGCTGTTGGTCCCTTGTCTGAGGTGAATAGACACTTGTTCATTTCTCCCCAGGAAGAGTGACACAACAGTGAAATTAACAGAGGTCTCCCTGCTATACTAAGAACGTAAATCAATTTAGAGTGAAACTGAAGCATTTTAAAAGATTTGTATACACACATATA